AATCCAATATTTAAAAGCTTATCACTAAACTTCAGAAGTAGCTCTTTAGTCTTACTCTGAACCATGTGCTCTAACATTAACATGAAACAGTATAGTGTGATAAAATCTGGTACTACTGTGTCCACAGTCCCATCGCAAAATGTACTAACTGTGTCCAGTACTAAGTGTAGTATCATACAATAGTTACATATTAACCAAGTCAAGTATTAAGACTAGTACCATGCAGTAATTACATACTAACATACACAAGTATTATGTGTAGAATCTTTCAATTGTTACATACTGTTCAAGTCCGGTATTTAGATTGTACTAATTTGTAGTCACCTACTAACATAGACAAGTATGAAGTATAGGATCGTGCAATGGTTACATATTAGCCTAAACCTGTATTAAGACTAGTATCACTCAGTTAAATACTAATCACATCTGGTTTCACTCAATAGTTTCATACTTAATGGTTTTGGTATTAAGCCTTGGAGATCTCAGTAGTTCTAACTAACCTGTTCCAGGATTAAGTTTGCTATGTCTCAGTAGTTGCATACTAACCTGTAATTTGACATTTTTCAGCTTGACCAACTGGGTAGCTGTTGACCAGAAATGGAGAATTAGAGATTTCCTGACCACCATAATGGATAGAAATGTGATACTGGCCTAGTTCATCAGGTACATAGCTAACAGTGTATGTTCCATCATTTTTGTTGTTAAGTTTACTTTTCCTTGGTCTGCCGTCTGGTCCCTGAAATAAAAATTATAAATAAATCAGATAAATTTATTTCAAAACCTGGGTTCTCATTCTGCAAAATAATATTTTATTCCCAACTATAGTCTAAATTAGCTCTTATTGGTTTGAGTGTTAGGTGACAATTCCACAGAAGGCTGGCTACTTTGCAAGAGTAAAAGAGAGTTCCATTACTGATGTTACTCCTGGCTGTATATATATATATATATTTTTTTTTAATTCATTTCCATCTTTTGCATTTTCTACCATTATGTTCATCATGTTTCATGATAACTTAAACAGTACAGTAACAACTATGGAAATAATATGCTAGTCTTACGACTTAACAAATTTTTATAAGATTCATAACTGGAATGAATCTCGTAAAATTTGTTAAGTGGTAAAATTAGCATTTTATTTCCATAGTTGAGTTGTTACTTCAAGAAAACAAATACATTATATCATTCTATTGAATATTTTATTCACTATCTACTGACAAACTGAAACTTGTATGACTTTACTTTGTAACATATCAGAATAATTATTTCTTTTCTTTGTCTTACATTGCTAGAAATGAAAAAACATAGCCCCGCAATCTATTTCCTTTGCAAAAGGCTGTCATGCAAAGCACACTACTCCTCCTTGTAAGCTTGCCATAACCCATAGATTGTATGATAACAGTGCCAATTATAACAGTTTAACTGCACAAAAATCCAAAGGTGTGTGTGCTCATATAAAATAGTATGAATAGCCATTTCATTCTCCAGCTGCCCGAAGTATGTAACAGGTGAATGAGAAGTTTGACTGGACACACTATCTTGCTGAAACCATACACTGTTGGTCTCATTTTTGCACAAATCCAATGTTGGACATACAAGACAGTTTAGCTTAAGAGTTATTATTTAGTTTATTTAGAGATTTAATATTTAATAATTTAGTTTTCATTACAAGAGTGTTCAAAGTTAGTCACCTACTGTAAAGAATTTGGCCCTATAAAACTTAACATCCAGTATTTCTGTGTGGTATAAAAAGCATTGGTTTGACAGCAAGTAGAGTTCACCATGACTTTTATATCCACTCTCCTGATCTTTACTTTGCTCTGGCACATTATCCAGTAAGGATAATAAATTTCTTTATAAACGTTTTGTTACATACCATGCATCACTTTGGAAAATTTATTTTGCCCATTAACCAGTAGCAAAGGATATTTGTTACAGATATCAAGTTACACATATGCTTTCTTGAGTGTCACCATTTACTATTAATTAACCCTAGCTAGGTACCATTAATACAATTTTCTACAACTGATCTTCCTTTCTGGATATGATGTGAAAGCAACTTGTATACACATAATTTGTGTCACTTTTCCAGATAGAGATTCTTCTTGATTATGTGGCATAACGCTATCTGGGACAAATGGATATCTTACCACTGATCTTTGTGTTCGCTGATTCTCATCTGTTACAAAATACCACAATTTGCTTACCATGGTGGGGTACAACTTGTATGATCCTGGTGCTCCAAGTTAAGCCATATTCCTTGTTTTCAAATGCCATTAAATACATGGTTGTCAGGTTTTATAGGGCTGTATTCTTTAGTAAGTGTCTGACTTGTTGGTGATAAATTTCAATAATATGTTCAAAACAAGTCAAGCATATGTACAAAAACTCATTACACTGTTGGTTACCACAGTTGTATCCAGAATTTTAAATTATTGTCTACTTTTTATCAAAGTCCACATAGGCGGGTTCAGTTACTGTAGAACACCCCTTGAGAAGACAAATTATTCTGCTCTATCTCTATTATCGCAATAGAAGCTGTGAAACTCACTTTAGAAAATCTGAATATGTGAATATCTTGTGCTGTAAGGGATTGTTATATACCCTTCCCATAAGCGTTAAAACTTTTGGCAGCATCACAGAACCTATGAAATACCAGCAATGTTCACGTGTAGTTCTTATTCATGTCCTTCCATTGCAACTTTAAATTTGACTGTCATATACATGGCTTGCTGATTTGCATATTCAAAATTGTTTTAAAATAATGCACCTAACTCCTGTAGAACAGTAGAATAACTTTCTCTATGACATCACATTATTCTAAAACAGGAGAATAACCTTTCTTTTATGATCTTACTTTGTTGTACAAAAGAATAATTCACATAACATTGTTCTAGAATAAAATAATAGATTTCTCTGACCTTAATTTGTCCTACAGTAGAAGAACAAAATTCTCTACGATACCACATTGTTCTTCAATAGAGGAATGAATTTCTCTATTACCTTACTTTGTTCTGCTATAGAATAATAATTTTCTCTGTTGGTACACAAGAGAAGTTAATATTAAAATAACAAGTCTTAAAACTTCACAACAACCCAAAACCTTGTAATGACATTATGCAATTCAACACTTTACATCACCATAAGGAGACATGAAATCTTGTAGGAAACAAACAAAAACACAACATCTAATAATGACACTACACACTTTATGTCAACATATGATGATCTGAAATCTTGCAGTAAACAAATAAAAATGCAACATCTAATAATGACACTATCAAACTTGACACCTTATGCCAACAGAAGGAGACTTGAAATTTTCTAGTAATCAAACAAAACTCCAAATCTTGTAATGACACTAAACAACAACACCTTATACAAACAGAAGGAGATTTCAAAGCTTGTTTTCAAACAAAACTCAAGATCTTTTAATAAAACTATAAAATTCAACACCTTATAAAAACATGTGCTCTTGTAATAATAAAGCAAAACTCAAGAATTTCAGAAATATGCAATACTGTTGCAATAATGAAAAAAACTGATTACATATTATAAACAAACAGCACCTACAGGATATATCAAAACCTAAACCTACCTTCAAGTAAATCTCAGGCTCAGCAAAACCTGCTTCAGTAATGTCAATGGTAAACTCTGTAGGTAGACTTGCTGGTACACCCTTGGGACTAACCCCAGGACCATAAATCTTAACCTTCTCTGGTTCATAGGTTGGCTTGACTTCCATTTGGAATGGACTAACAAGGAAATAACACATGACTATGTACAAGTATTTTTAAGAATGATATTGTTTTGAAATATATTTGTTTATAAATAATTGTCTGCTGTGAAATTAGCAATTATTTATAATCTCTCTTGGTGTGAAACTGTTTAAAATTTTAGACTATCATGGTATTAAAGGGTCAATTATTTAGGCTATCTTACTGTGAAATGTTTGAATATTTTGAGCATTATTATACGAAACATTTGATTATTTAGGTTGTTTTGAAGCTATGAAATATTTACAAATGTGAAACAGTTCATTATATATAATCTTTTTTTTTTGGAGGGGGGTCAGTTTTAATTACTTTGGCTATCCTGCTGTGAAATTCATGATTAGTTGGAATATTCTGCTGTGAAAGAGCTGATTACTTGTACTATACTGCTGTAATATAGATAATTATTTGGAATATCCTTCTTTAAAAATGTGGATTATTTGGACTATCTGGCTGTGAAAAAAGTTGATTACTTGCATTATTCTGCTATGAAATAGGTCATTATATGGCCTATCCTACAGTGAAACTTTTTATTATTTGGAGTATTATCTTAATTTATTTTTTGTACAATTTTGGTTATTCACGTTTTCTTGTTATGTTGTTATGCTATGAAAATGTAGGCTAATTGCTAGTTTGGTCTTATACTATTTAGCAGCTAAGAACCAAACACAATCAACTATACCGTTACATTTATAGAAGGATACAATAACAACAACAAATGTAACAAGTGTACAATGTTGTTAGTTTGGAGAATGACATAGTCACAATAACCAAACACTTAGAAGAGGTATCTTGGCACCCCAGGGTGTTGGTTTAGAGTAGAGCTGTTTTGTTCAATTGAGATAAATTCCTTGATTTTTCGTTTGTTTATGTTAGATTCTTTGTTTAAAATGACTGTTTTTAATAGATATACTATGATTTTTTGAGTTGCAATGGTGAAAAACATGGAACGGTTTTTTATTAAGTACGTTTCAGCAAAGTTTTTAAAAAATATTCACAATAAAACAAAACATTGGTGGTGGACAAAATTGACAAAACAGTTTAGGAAGTTTCGTTTTCAGGCAAAGACTCACCTTCCAGCAATATCTTGACCTCCATAAGTAACTCTGAGGTCACACAGGCTATGTTCTGGTGAGGGGAAGTACATCACATCATATGTGCCATCTCCTTTGTCCTTGATTTCAGGTTTCTTTTGTACAGGGCCTGAAACATATAAATTCAGTTTTAATATTAATATCTGTAACTTTATTGTAAAGTCAAACACACATGGTATTTCCTTATTATTTTAACAGAAGTAGAGTCAAACACATTTGTATTCCTTCAAAATGACCCAGAAGAATTTGGACTTCAAAATTATAACATTTTCTTTTAAGATCAGCACCTTCTGATGGATTATAATTTAGTCATACTTATTCTTCTGTCATAATAACCATATAGAAGATACTTCTATGTAAACACATAAGAAAATAAATTCAATTCCTTCTACTTTTAAATTAGGATTCCAGACTCAGAGTGCTTGGAGTGAACTATTCATCAGTTTCACAACAAAGTTGGAAAACTATAAAATAAACTTTGAAAAAAAAACATGAATATTCAAAGAGCTTTAATACAGATACCTAATTATATATTTTTATCAAAGTTTTCTATATTTTTTGAAATTGAATTTTTTAGGTTCATTATTTTCAAATTGGATTTCAAATGACACTCAAGTATGAAAAAAAGAAAGGAAGTATGAAGTTGCATAACAGCAAATAATTTTTTCAACAACTTGCTTACGTTTTTTTGAATATCTTTCTTTCTTCACGGACAAATTATTATTCATGGTACAAAAACTGCAGAAACATTTTTTTCACAATAATTTTTTGCTATTTTTATTAACTTAATATTTAAACAAAAGCATAATAAATAACTGTCCTACTCCACAGTTATTCAGCAACAAGCTAGAGGGCTAATAATGCTAAAATATAGGGCTGAATTATTGTATTAGGCACAGTGCAGATATTCCATTGTATTTAAAACAAACACATAATACTTGATCCTTACCTAACATAAATATTTTGTGTGGAACACTTTTAATCTTCCCAACAGAAAGCCATTTAGTTTTAAGTAGAACTTCAGGTCTAGCTCTTTTAAATATTGCTTCCTCACTAACACTGTTCAAGAACATGAATGGAATAATCTGGCCTGTACTCACCATACTCAGACTGTACTTCCACCCCAAGTATGAATGAAATAATCTGGTCTGTATTCACCAGACTCAGACTGTACTTTTTTCTCCAACTATGAATAGAATAATCTGGCCTGTACTCACCATACTCAGACTGTACTTCCACTAACAGTGGAGCTTTAGCTGACTTCTTAGTATCCACAGTAAACTGAAGTGGCAGACCAGCACGACAGTGTTCTGGCTCAACTCCAGGTCCATAGGCTCGAACCTTAGATGCATCCAAATCATAGTCCACAGGAACTTTGAATGGGCTTCCTAATGAACATGACAAAAAAGCACCAGCAATTTTCTATGTATACAATAAGTTTTCACAATAGTGTTTAAGTCTTCTACAAAAATCACAATAACAAAGTTCTTTTTGTTTTTAATTCTGTTGAACAAGGAAAGTTCCACTCTAAATTGCTGTTTTTATATAAACAGATACAGTCCACAATAGCACTACTGTTCCTGCTTGAACAGATACAGTCCACAATAGCACTACTGTTCCTGCTTGAACAGATACAGTCCACAACTACACACTAATGTTCCTGCATAAATAGATACAGTCCACAACTACACACTAATGTTCCTGCATAAATAGATACAGTCCACAACTACACACTAATGTTCCTGCATAAATAGATACAGTCCACAACTACACACTAATGTTCCTGCATAAATAGATACAGTCCACAACTACACACTAATGTTCCTGCATAAATAGATACAGTCCACAACTACACACTAATGTTCCTGCATAAATAGATACAGTCCACAACTACACACTAATGTTTTTGCATGAACAAAGATATTCTAGAGCTACACACTAATGTTTTTGCATGAACAAAGATATTCTAGAGCTACACACTAATGTTTTTGCATGAACAAAGATATTCTAGAGCTAAACACTAATGTTTTTGCATGAACAAAGATATTCTAGAGCTAAACACTAATGTTTTTGCATGAACAAAGATATTCTAGAGCTAAACACTACTGTGTCATATAGTCCACAACCACAAAGTACTGTATTTTACATGATAAAATACACTTCACTCTACTGCTTTTACATAAACAGTCTACAAATACATACTACTGTTTTTGCATGAGGAAATCTAGTCCACATTTACACATTACTACTTTACATGAACAAATACAATCCACAACTACATACTACCTTTTTTCATGAACAAAGTGCAGTTCACAGCTACACCATTGTTTTTGCATGAACAAATAAAGCCCACAACAACAATACTGTTTTTGTATGAAGAAATATGGTCCACATCTACACATCAATGTGTTTTCCTTGATCAAATACAGTCCACAACTACACACTAACGTTTTTTTTTACCTAACTATACAGAACTATTTTTATATAAACAAATGCAGTCTACAATAATACTATTGTTTTAACATGAACAAACACTGTGCACAACTATACAGTACTTTCTGAATTCTGCACAAAAAAAGAACCATTGACATATGTTGTTGAGACAATCATAATTTTTGTATGTACTTAGATGCTACAATACTATTCTATGGAAATATACCTGGTATAAACTGGTCAGCAAACTTGACTGAAATATCATAATCACCAGGCTCTGTTGGAGTATACTCAACTGTGCAGGAGCCATCTCTGTTGTCTTGGCAGGTCATTGTGGCTTCTGATGGACCTTCTATAGCCATACTTAGACTTCCTGTGCCTGCTTGTTTCGTCTCTACTGTGAACACATTGACCTATAGAGATGAAAATTTGCAATACATTATGATCTATAATTCATGGTTAACATTAAAAAGTAGACGTTCACTTCTGTAAAAAAAAACCTGGAGAGAAAAGATGCTTCCCTTTATCAAAAACAGATGTTAATTATTGTAATAAAAGAGACTGTCCTTTGTCAAAAACACATATTACTTATTGTTGAACCTCTGGATAATAAAAGTTGTTTCCTTTTGTAAAAAAACAGATGTTAATTATTGTAAAAGCCCCTGTATAATAAAAGTGACTTCCCTCCATCAAAAAGACGTTAATTATTTTAGAAACCATGTATAATAAATGAGGTCCTAGTATTAAAAATAAGTTTTCAGTGTTGTAGAAATGGTTGGAAAACTGGACCCTCTATCAAAAATAGATATTCATCACTGTAGAAGTTTCTGAAGAACAATGAAGCCCCAATGAAAAATAGTTATTCTCCACTGTTGAAACACCTGGAGATGAATGGATACAGGTGTTCATCACTGTAGAAACCCCTGGAGAAAAGTGGAAACAAGAGTTCATCACTGTAGAAACCCCGAAAGAAAAATGGACCATTCCTATTAAAAAGATATTCATTACTGTAGAAACCTCTAGAGAAACGTGGAAACAGGTGTTCTTCACTGTAAAAATTCCTAAACCCCTGGAGAATAGTAAAAAACATAGATTTTATTGAAGTTCTCTGTATTAAAGATTATCATTACAAAAATAAAAATAAACTACACAACATTTTCATAAACAATTTTAGTTTCTTTGACTTTAAGACTTTTAGTTGGATTAGTTCCAGTTTTAAAACTTAGGTATCATGAATTTTTAGATATCAACACAGAAGAAGAAGAAATTTTAACAATACCTCATCAACAACTCCTTTCTTTAAACCAGGTCCAAAAGCACGACATTTATTTGGATCACAACCTTTGGTGACATTAATTTTATATGGACATCTTGGGATAGTGACTCCATTGTACGAGACATCAACAATATGACAACCTAATAAGAGAGATGGTACAAGTAATTAATAAGGTTTTATACAAGACTCTTTGAATATTCACAGCCTAATAAGTGGAGAAATGCATTAGCTTTTTAAAAAAATTATAAACCTAAACAGATAAAAAAAAACAAAAAAACTATTCAACTACAGTGTCACACACTAAAAAAAATAAATAAATACCTTATGCTTGATGCTAGTTAGTTAAAAGAAGAAAAAAAGCTGCTTAAATGACAATGAGAAATTATAATGACAGTGTCATTAACAGATTTAGCAAATATCTTTCAACACACAATCCTGGTAAGAAAAACGATAATTTCATTGATACTGTTTCCATGTAAAAGAAATGTAAATAGATTTAAAGAGTAAAATTATTACCTACAAATCCTTAATGTCTATAAATCAAGTTTCTGTAAGTGGTTATAATGACAATGATTATCATCTTAGAAGACAAGGAAATATGTAATCATTTTTTAACTTAATTTTCAACTTAAAAATGTAATATTCAATTTGAAATATATTTATATACAGTTTAGTGACATTTGAGGAGAGACAATAACTATTTTTTTGAATATACAAAAATGATTTGAAGTGGTCAATAAAAAATAAAGTTAAATATTTTAGAAGAATACTTAAGTAAAAACTCTAAACAACATATCCAGGTTAGTTTTTGATGTTACTACCTTATTCTACAGGGGTGTACGAAATTTTGTACATTCCATCACTGAGGTTCTGTACTAAGGATTGAGTGCAAGCTTTTGATGGGGTGGTGATGGTGCATCGTACTACGGCATCATAGTCCTTAGAAATAGCTTGTGTATCCACAAATAATTCCACAGGTGAATCAACAAAAGCACCTACAGGTTGATTATATGGGTGTTGGATTAGGCTAATGTAGGTTGCAAACATTCTTAAATGTGTTAATACCTGTATCTCTTAGAATGTCAGATATATTTGTTTAAGTAGTAAAAATAGTACAAGTAAAGCATAATATTTTTCATAATTTACTTAACTAGCAGATATTTCTTTCTTTACAGCTTTTAACTAGTTGTATTCACTCTAATCTGAGCCCTTAATCAAATGACAAGAAACACTTCATAACATTTAAAAAATTCACAAAGAGTAAGAGCTGTCAAACTTAAGTTATAAAATGGAACATTCTACTGCTATACTTCTCACAATAACGTTCACTCCAACCAGGCTATGGTATATAAAAGTTTTTTTAAAAAAAAAGTACATTATACTGCCAAACCTTATCTAATATGATTCACACTAGCAATGATATGACACACAAATAAATTAAGAAATGGATATTTTATTAACAAGCCTTTAACAATAAATATATCAATAACAAAGCTATGATAGATAAAAGTTATAATAGTACTTTCTATTTACTTACTTTTCATAATAACAGGATTATTGTATAAAAGTTAGAAAGGAACACAAAATACACCTAAGAAACCTGAAGAAACTACTCGTTTACTGCAAATTTGGAAGACAGTACTACTGTAGTAAAATCTTGAAAGACACTAATCACTCATTGCAAATTTGTAAGGCACGACTAGTATAGTAAAAACTTGTAAGAAGCTACTACTCATCGCAAATTTGTAATGCATAACTAATATAGTAAAAACATGCAAGACTGCTAATTCATTGCAAATTTTTAAGGCACTAGTATGTAGTAAAAACCTGCTGATATTGTAATACAGTAAAATTCTGTAAGATGCCACTGGTACATTACTGATTTTGAAGGCACTATTAATACAGTAAAAGGCTAAGATACTATACATACAGTTAAAAAGTTGACAGAAACAGTCGACAGATTTTTAGCAAATAGTACCTTGATATGTTGGTTAGTAATGAAAACAAATTATAACATGTGTAAAAGATCACTTAGAAAGACTGTTTTGTTAAAAAGAGCTTTGATCTGTTGATGGGAAAAGAAAATATACATGTATACAGTTAAAACAATGTTTCATTAAATATATAACACAAAGGTCCAAGGTTTTATTAACAACAGCTGTGTGTGAAAATGGCTGCCAGTCAGTTCCTACCAAGACATATTAACCGATAAGAAATACTTTCAAGTAAACTGTAGTGCTTACTTGGCTCCAAGCCATCCACCTTAATTTTAGAGACATCTACTTTTGGATGGACATTTACATAGAATGGACTTGATGGCACTTCCTTCTCTGCAAACTGAACTTTGATCTGTTTGTAGTCAAAAGACAAACTATCAAATGTGTATAGGATCTTTGTTATCAAGTTACTAGTTAACAGCACCTTTATTTGTTTGTTGGTAAAACATAAAATTATAACACATGTAACAGATTATTGATATAGGACATTTTGATAAACAGAGCTTTGTTATTTAATGTGTAAAGAACAAATATTAATCATGTGTATAACTGCTCTGGTAATTAGCATCCTAATCTATTGATGGGATAATAAATAACATTAATCACTTGTGTACAGAATCACCAGTAAACAATGTTCTAGGAAATAGCATTCTGCTTAGTTTGTGGGTCATGCTCAAACAATAATCACATTTATATGATCATTAGTACTGTTAGATATACACAACTGTTTCAGTTTAACTTTAATGCAAATGTTACGATTTAGATAGTTTATATAGCACGAGTGTTTAAATTTAGTTATTTTTAGAAGTGATAGTTCATAGCAAGTTTGTTTATGTAAATGTTTACAGATCATATTTTGTGTAGTTCAATAGTTATGAATTGGTGCTTGTTATATTATTGCATCATGTTACTAGAACCTCCCGTGTTTTTCTCGTTGATTTAATTGAGTATTATTGCATCATAATATTTAGTAGTGTGTGTAATGTTCTAGACCTCTTTCAGGGTATAAATATACATCAAAAATGTAACTCAAGAGATAGATCTAGACAGCATGATCGTGAGTTTAGCCATAAAGAGCATATAGTGCTCTTTACCAAAGTGAAATTATCACAGAGTATAGAAGAAATAATTTGTCTTGTCAATTGTATTCTAAAGTACTTTAACCAACCTGTGTGAACTTTGAGAAAAAAAAAAAAAAGAATTATTTAAAGCTCTGGATACAACTGTTATAATGGTGATATTAAAGCGAAATTATCACAGACTGTATTGTAATAACAGAGCAGGAAGAATAATTTGTCTTGTCAATTGTGTTCTAAAATAACTGAACCAACCTGTGTGGACTTTGATGAAAGAGAGAATTATTTAAAGCTCTGGATACAACCGTGTTAACCAACAGTGTTACAAACATTTGTGTGTGTGTGTGTGTGTGTGTGTGTGTGTGTGTGTGTGTGTGTGTGTGTGTGTGTGTGTGTGTGTGTGTGTGTGTGTGTGTGTGTGTGTGTGTGTGTGTAGTATATATATTATTAAT